TAAACTTGGCAGGGTCATATCTTCTAAAGACTTAAAACACTCACAAAATATTTTGAACTTGAGAAGACATTGTAGATGTAAGGCAAAAAATATTATGAAAATTGAAGAGGACGTATTTTCGATAGACTGACCGTAAGCTACATAGGTGAAAAGTTGATTTTGGGATCATATATTTGGGTGAGCAAAATAAAATTCTCTATCTAGTGTAGGCTTGAAATAGTTAAATATTTGGATTTTACATTTCTTATTTGCCCTACATACTAAATTTCAGAAATATTGGAGGTATGAAAGTATTCTTCTTTAATTTAAAAAAAAAAAACACTGAGATTCGGCGACGTTACGCGGCCTTAATTTAGAGGCAAAATAGGAAAATTATACACACCCCTTAAAACCGGAACGGTAAAGTCTAGCACAAAATAATTTGGCACACTTTCCTAACTCCTGAAGGGGAACATTTGTGCCAAATTTCAAGTAATTTGGTGTCGGTGGGTGTAATACCCTGGTGAATTGACATGGAATGACCCGGTAGTAAACTTGAGTTCATCATCCAACTTAATCTTAGAACAGATCATTAAAGCCCTATGGGTAAGGGTTTTAATTAAATTAATTTTACGTTTTACGGGACAACAAGAGTCCCAGCGGATATATAAACCAGTAAATGTCGGTTTATGATAAACAGATGTAACAAAACCCAACGAAGATCTGTTAACCAAAACATCAAGTTATAAAAGGGAAGAATCAATTTCCTTTTCTTATGTAAATTTTAAAGCCGGAACATTATTATTAAGGGACAAAAGAAAATGGTCCGCTTCAGTCTCGTTATCAAAGAGACAAAAGGTGTCATCAACGTAAAGGAAGTAAACGTCAGGTTTATTAGATTTCGATAACACACTCTCTTCATGGAATTCCATAAATATGTTCGCTAAAATGGGTCCCAATGGGAAATCCATCAAATATCATCAACTTGCCTATACATGACGACGTCGAAACTAAATTCGACTGACATCGTAACAAATTTCATCAGCTCGACGAAAACGTCCTCAGGAATAACAGGAGGAGACAATTGACTACGATATAGGGCATCAGTACGTATATCGTATCAGCAAGTGGAACGCGGGTAAATAGGCTGGAAATATCGTGGAAACACAAATTCTTTGGCTGGGTAATATCAATGATAGATATGCTAGGCAAGTTTCCGTAGCGGTTCGACATTGGTACTTTGCTGCTAACACACATGTAGTCTTTTTTGCCAAGCCTGTCCTTTCATCCATGCGGAAGGATGTTCTCTCTCCACATCATAATAGTTCTTTAATATATTCCTTTAAATGTAGTTGTGGCTCATACTACATAGGGAGAACAACTCAAAGGCTGGATGTCATAATAAAGCAATACGAAATCTTAAGTACACTTCTTCAGTTATTCTGAGCAATATATATGGGTCTTCCATCGCAGAGCACCTAATAAATAGCCATAATTGTGCCACTAATTTTCAGTGTGGACTCATTTACTATTCTTAGCATATCCCACTCGAATTACCACTTCAAAGTGTTGGAGGCTATTTATAATTTATCTTTGAAACCTTCTCTTTGTAAACAGAAGGATTACGTACTGGGTATCCAACTAATATATTGTTCATCTCTTTTTAGTGAATAATTCTATTTAAAATCTTAACATCGATTTAGTTCTGTTGAGCGAGGTTCGAAAACGGTTAGCTAGCCCGTTTTTCAGTTTTATTTTTTATCTATTATTATCATAAGTTGTAATAAAAAATAAATTTTGTCTTTGCATGGCGGTCATAAAATTTTGTACCACAAATCATATCTTATATAATGCGCACGCTTGTGCGTGTGTGTATATGCATCCTACAAACACTCGCATATATATCTCTGAAGAATTAATGGATTTATTTTTAATTCGACATTTTTATTACTGCAAACGTTATTATAATTCATACTTCGCACTTGCAATAGAAACCCTATTTTTATTTATTAGACTGTGGGGGTTACGGGTTCGTTCTCTGTCAGGTAAAATAATTTCTTAGTTAATATTTCTCGAGTGAGCAGGCCAATACACATAATACAATGTTTAATAAGTGGAAATGAGACGCCAATTTCAAATACGAAGTATCCACTGTAATAACGTTTAAAGTAATATATCATTGTATCATCTGTTGTGTGCTGTCTCTCTTCAGTATTTACTCTGCTATGACTCTCCACAACATTCTTTTCTTCTGTATTAGTTTTAGCGATGTTTGTCTTTTTATGTGGGAGTTATATACCTATGTATACCTATCACATTCATTTCTGCGAACTATTTTCCAAGCTCGTTAAATATGCTAGTTACTATTTCTTTTATTTCGCTTCTGTTTGATGTCATTTGTGTGAGTTGGACTTTGGACTTTGGGGGCTTACAGTACCAGGTGTTCCCAAGCGGTCCCCCATCTAAGTACTGACCTGGCTCTACGATGCTTAACTTCGGTGATCGAACGAGAACCGGTGTTTTCAGCGTGATTTGACCGTAAGCAGGTAAGGGTTGGACTTTGGGAAAAGTCCAACCCTTACCTCACAGTCGGTGGGTGGGTGTAAACGGTAGTGTCAGAGCTATGCCGCCCGGAACTTCGTTCCTGGTAGGGCCACCCAAGGCGGACAGGTCTGACACACACGCCGGCTAACAAGGGCTCTGGTGAAAATCCAAGGAGCGTCTGCATCGGTAACCGGCGGCTTCTGGTCGTTCCTGTCTCTGCGTCTGTGGGAACCCGGCGGCAAGCAAGAACGTTATCCGAGTAGGCCCGGGTGCCCTACCTCTGTAATTTATCCCAAGAATCTTCTTCTCATAACAGGAAGAAGCCGGCTCAATCCGCCCAGGGTGAATGCCGCATCAGTACAGTAGTAGTAGTAGTATTTGTGTGAGTGTGTCTCACATTTTCTAAGCCTTCTTTCCTTACATTTCCCAGAATGCACCAAATGTTCCGGTATTAAAAGTAAACAGTGCAAAAGAATAGAGATAAAATAAAATACGTATTAAAAATTTAAATTGTGTCCATTATCATATAGATTATATGTCTAATAATTGCTCAGTAGATGAAACTTGAGATGTAAATATGGTAAGCAACAAGGATATACCTGCATTAATATGTCAGTTTATACATAGATATAATGTATTTATACATGAGAGCACACACAGCACATTCAAAGAAGGCTCTGTGATGCAATCGATCCTGACCTGGCATCTCGACTTCAGTCACTTTCTCACCAACGTAACGTGGTCCCCCACTCTTTTCTACAAATATTTTCATGGCATCTAATTCTTCCCCTGGTGCTTCGACTGCATGAATTTAAGCGTGTTACTAAATTGGAAATTAGGTTTAAACTAATGAAATGCAACCACCACCACTTCAATGCTAACCATTTATTTCCTTGCACTTCTCACCTGTGGAACTCCCTTTCGTTTTCTTGCTTTCCTACCGACTACAATAATTTAAATGCAACGTCAGTCGCCATTTGCTATTTTCCTAACTCCGTTATTTTCATTGTCCTTTTCTCAATAAGTTGTCTTAGTCTCTTTCCCTCCTAGTAATCCTCTGCATCCTCCTGATATTATTTATCGCTTTACTTGTTTATAATATATATATATATATGGAAAAAAATTTTGCGTGGAAAAAGGTTTACAGTGAATTACTCTATTTTTCAACAAATATCGTTCCGAACATCTGCATGCAATATATATATATATATATATATATATATATTTTTGACAAACCTGACGACTTTCCCTGACGATCCGTTTAGGTGAAACCTGGGTAGGTTTGTCTGGCTCACTAGGTTTATCTAGGTCTGCTCTACGGTTGTATTTAGCTCTTTTGTTAGTTAGTTGTTACTCGTATCGGGGTTTTTTCTTTGGGCTTCAACCCTGTATCTGTGCGAATTTTTTTCGACAGACTTTCATGTTTGTAGCTCTTTCTTTTTTAAAAACTTTTTTTCCTCGAGATTGATTTGATTATTGGCAAATCAAAAATTGAGGGTTTTTCGAAACGAGTATAGCTCTCTCTCTCTCTATATATATATATATATATATATATATATATATATATATATATATATATATATATATATATAAAATTTTTTTTCTTAATCCGACATTATTTTTTATTACAATATACGTTATTTTAGTGGGACATCTGTTTCAGCCGAGTTGTTATCCCTGTTGTTTTTTTTTCTTAAACAGTGAAATTAATAACAAACGTCCTGGCAGGACATCCGGATATAAACCGGTTGTTATCAATTTCAGTTAAAAACAAACAAAAAAAAACAAAAAAAAAAAACCCAATAAAATTGATAGTATAACCAAACACGTATACCCACTAAACATAGAATAATTTTTATTTTATATATATATATATATATCCGAATATATTTATAGGTAAGAGATTGAGGGGTGTTTCCCGAAGCGTCTGACTTCACACACTCTTTTTTATACTTTGTCCTGTGCTATACTTGAGTGAAGCTAAAAAATATTTCACTTGGTTCATCTTCAATATATAAGAATGTAAGAACACATTTTTCTCTGTCCTCTCTAATCAACTTGTCACCCACCCGTCAACAACCTCCCTTCTTCTGACCCACAGTCGCAAAAGAGATGTAAATAAAAGCCATGATTTACAAGCACTCTCTCCCAGTAAAACCAGCTGCAGTGCCAGCTACAAAAGCAATCAGTTAAAATAGTCAGAGTAGCAGTGGTAAGTACCCCCAAACCATAGCAGTTATAAAAGTTGCGAGGGAGGTGCCGGTATAATGAGAGTCGAAGGCGTATATATTAGTGGGGGTGTTCATAAAAAAAATACAGCAAGAAAAAGAAAAACAACAACAAAAAAACAGTTGTGTGCTTGTTCGTTTATTATAACAGTTTAAAAAATTGTCATGAGTCTTCCGTTGAAATTTTACGCATATTTCAGACGAAAAATCAGCCCAATTTTTATGGTGGATTTTTTTCTTCTATTTTAGCTACATGGATATACCCAAACCCCAGGCATGGGGGAATATCTGTGTGTAGGGGATTACATTTGCCTCTACTGTGAGGAAACTGAGGGATATGTGTATAGCGTCCAGTCAAGGTAAGTTCTTCCGGTTTTTTGTTTGGAATGTTATATATATATATATATATTGGTCTTTTTTCTCAACTTTTTATTCATCTTCGGGTTGTTAAGGAACATGTTTTCGAAAAAATAACGATAAAGCTTAATTTGAGAAATTTAGTCAGCTCAAAAGATAAAATTTTCTTCGCCTTCTTCTTATGTTCCGTGTCTCTTCAAAACATAGGCGATCATGGCCCTCCACATTTTCCTGTCATTTTGCGGTCTTAATAAATTTCTTTTTGTTATATCTCCTAAATCTTGTTTCGCCATCAATTTACTCAAGCTCACTAAGTAGGTTATACGATGTTTTCCTCTGTCTCTCTTGCCTTCAATCTTTCCTGTGAGTATCAGATTTTAGAAGCCTTCTTTCCTCGTGGGCTCTATAAATTTCAACTGTCTCATCCAGATGTTAAGTGTGACTTTCTTTTTTATTTTCATTTTCTGTAAAACTTCGTCGTTGCTCACATATTCATCCGCGAAGTTTTTAGAAAAGGACATTGTTTACAAAACAGTCGGATTACAAGTTTAAATATCCACCCCAAAAAACATTTTTGCTAAATGCATATCACTTGATATACATCCCTTATCACAAAAAAGGCTTTAGTTGTATGTTTCATGCAATGAAGTTTTTTACTGAACACCAAGAAAAATAAACAAAACGGTCATATATGGATGTCTATAAAACATACACACACATACATACATACATACAACGCACACACACACAGTGTGTGAAGGAAATTTACAACGCACATACACACACACAGTGTGTAAAGGAAATTATGAGTTAAACTTTTGGAATGATTTTCATTTCAATTTTTTAAAATGAAATATAATTAAATTTAATCCACAACAATAAAATAATTATTTAACATTTGACCAAAGTCTAAACGGTTTGAATAGACCTAAAATAAGGAAATGAAAATTAGTGATTGTAGCCAGTTGTATATAAATGTCATGGATGTGGCATAATCCCACATAAATACATTATATGAAGTTTTCAGGAATTACAAATGTATCATATATATATATATATATATATATATATATATATATATATATATATATATATATATATATATATAACCTACTAGGATGATTTTGGAAAAATACATTGTCATGTTTCCACGAATGGACCTTCACCATCAGAAATATAATTTTATTTTCCGGCTGACAGCGAATCACTGTCGAAACCTGTTAATCTATCTGCATGCATATTTAAGGATGTTTACGAAAGAACATGCTTTGTATACATACATATATTTTCGTGTGTGTGTAATATATATATATATATATATATATATATATATATATATATAAACGAAAAGGAAGCCTTGTATTTACTAACGCGTTTTGTCCTCCTAAGTGATTTTATCAAAGTAAATGTAGAAATATTTATATTGCAACTTGTGTTTATAAACAGAAATAAAGTAAGAGAAAAAAATCGTTATGTTTTCAATTGTAAAATTTGAGTACGTTCTAAAATATTCTGTTTGTGTAAGCAAAGGTAAACTATGGAGACTGCTAAGTGACATAATTCAGTATTTATGGTTTAAAGCTTAAAAAAATTCATGTGGAATTCATTACATACCCTCTGACCAATTTGAAAAGAACAGTTTAAAACTTGTTACAAGGCATATATCCATATAATGGCGACGCTATGCATGCGTTCTCTCCATTTATATATATATATATATATATATATAATATATATATATATATATATATATATATATATATATATATATATATATATATATATATATATATATATATATAATATATATATATATATATATATATATAATATATATAAATCAGAAAATAAGTGGAAGAATTACAGTTATATATTCGTAAAATGTTTAGTGAAATATGATGTTTGATCGTAATCGATAGTTGTTTAATATGTTGTTTTGGTATTAATAAAGATAAACTTTTTTACATTGATGCGATTACAGATTTATTCATGATTTAACAACAATTATAAATTACTGAAATAGATTTATAATAGCCACATTTTCATTAAACCCTTCAGTGCAATAACCATTAATTTCAATTCTACTCATCACACACACACACACACACACACACACACACACACATATATATATATATATATATATATATATATATATCTATATATATATATATATCTATATATATCAAACAAATTGTACATATTTGTTTTTATTCTGACCAGAAGACGCCTACCTAACTAACGAAGGCAAAACGATTTGTCAATAAAATGGTTCTCCACGTTTGTTTGGATTCTATATCCTAAAACGTGTGTGTGTATTATTTTAATTAAGTCTGGAAAAAGGCAATTTTTTATAGTTCCTTGTAAGAAGAGGATTCATATTGCTAGTGCAGCTGTATCTATCTTTTTCAATACGAATTTGTCAAATGATTCTGTCGCTCCTTGTCTTTCTCCTTATTCTTTCATTTTCCATCTCATTCCCTTCTATTTCTTGCTCTTTCTCTGATTATTTTCTCATCTTTTACTAAATGTAGGCTTTAGTAAAATACACGGTTTTTATAAGGAACTCATTTATAATCAACTCTACAAATTTGACAAATCCAATAATGACGTCTTTGTGAGTCAAAAGAAAAAAAACATAAACAGTGAAATAAAAAGAGTTACTAAATACGTCATTTTATGATGTATTCATGATTAGTGTTTTTCTTTTCTATTTCTCTTAAACATTAACAAAAATGTTAAACAGCCATTTATGATAGTTCAGTATTAATTCTTGCTTAAAAATTAAGGAACCAGGGAGCTCAAACAGCATGAAACTCTCAATCATCTTCGAAATAAAGGTGCCTACTGTAGCGCTTTCGTGTGATTAACAAACCATTTGATAGATCGTTCTTTTCTAGTTAACGACAAATTTGATCTACATGCTAAAAGATGTGGGGTCGGTGTAATATCGACGACAGTGTGACAGTGGTCGCGAGAACTGGCTAAATTTTCTTCTTGGCTCATATACACACGTATGTGAATGATCACCCTAACTCAAAATCGATCTTGTATCCTGTCTCTGTGGGGAGGCAGGGTAAATAGTTACATGTTTGGATGAGATCGGTGATCTCGAGCCCGGTCGCACATTTTCTCGGACTGCTTCTCTTATTTTGTTACTATTTTTTCAAATTCAATTGTATCATTGTTCCTAATTTATCTTGCTTGTACATTATTATAATTATTATCTTTATTATCGAGTACAACAACAGCACACCAACAAAATGACGCTTGTGTAAATACATACGAAACCTAATATACCGATAATGATGCACTCTATAAAGGTATATCAGACACATGCCTCACAGCCAAATGTACATGACTTGGTGACAGGTTGTGATAAAAGCATAGCATATCCTTGCAAGTGGTGCCTAGTTAGATATACCTCCAGGTCGAGTAAACGAGTCCGCTCAGCAGAAGGTTTCCGATTTAGGGTATTATCAAGCATCTAGGTGCAACTCTCAAGTTGTCTTGGCTGGTTCATCCTTCAAACATTAAAAAAAAAAACTTGATACACGATCACGATGTTTCTTCACTGCTCATGTTCATAAAAAGAAATGCGCCGTTCGCCAGCCTCAACTTGTTAAGGTCAGGCAACTGACAAACAAATCTGTGGTACTGAGCGGTTTATTTACTGTGGACCGTTTTAATTCACCGAGACGAAACATGTGCATGTTAACCGGTCCAATCAATTAAAATCAGAGGCCATAAGAGAAATTCATGGTGTTGCATCAGAATATTTAGCATCATTGCTAGTGTACCTATGCCGTCAAAAATGGCGGCTTATTTTTCATCTGCCACAGTTGTTACTGATAACTGGCTTCAGTGAACAGTAGATTCTATGAACTGTTTTCTGCATTTTTCGCATTTCTCATGGCATCAGAATTCTCAAACTTGCTATTGCGTTGCTCTTCTGTTTCTTGTCAAAGAGGTTCTTCCATTCGTATTCTATTATTTTTCTCTTAGATTCTTCCTCTGTTTCATTTTGAATCCTTTCAGTTACACATTCTCTCATAGCAGCTCTTCGTGTATTAGCTTCTTCCTATGTTTCATTTTGTCTTCTTTTCGCTGCTATCTCTCTCTCTCTCGCAGGTTTTCTCTACTCCTATTACCCTCTTCTTCTTCTGTCACATTAGTTAGTCTCTGAGCTGCGCGTCCCCCTGGCTTGTGTTCCTATTGTTTCATGACGTTCCTGCGATGCCTGTGAATATCTTTGCCTATCAGCCTCCCACTGTGCCTGATCCTGAGATAGGCCTAATCGCTGCCTTCATTTTTGCTCTCGTTCTAACCTTCTCCCTTCTTCAAGTGAATTTTCCATTTTATGATGTTAAATGAACAAAACAATGTAATATAGGGAAATATTTAAATTTAATTCTATAGAGCAAGATTTTGTTGAGTCTTAAAAACCAGATCGAATTAAAAATGTATTTAAATAATGAGGACTTGTAATTACACCTACATATTAATACTAAATTTAATAGTTATTTAATTATATATTTAGAGGGTAAAAGTGTGTTGAATCTAGGATACCAAAATTCCATAGGAAATATATAGTGACTAATGTGTTTTCTGTGGCAAAATTAATAAAAACCCCGTGATATAATTTTGAAAGTAATTGTTATTTGTAAATAATTGCAATGATATCTATGATTCATTGATTACTTCTTGAATTATATTAATAGATTTTTGATCAATATTTTTATGTTAAAAATTTATATGTTCAGTCTCGCATTGAAATGGGAATATTTCTCGGAAGAAAAAGATTAGCAACAGAACGACAGAGACGACGATGACCAAGCCTATTTCAAGATCAGTTTGGGGCAAGACGATCACTTAATAGACAAAGATATTTAAGTGTCTCACTTGAACAAATAAAACGGCAATCTAAGAAACGTAAGAATAAAGGAACTGGTTAATTCAAGAGTTCGTTTTGCTCGGGAAGTAATTTTGTCTAAATCGAAAT